CCTCACTCAAAACCGGAGGGGAAGTATCCTTTGCTTAAATCAGTAACAAAAATGAGACAGTGAAATAAAAAACAAACCTACAACAAAACACGACATCAATACTGTAAACTGCCAAGTAACAATATCATTATATGATTGAATACGGTGCGATTCACGGTAACTTTTGTACGGTACATGAACAAATAAATCGACCTAAAGAGTGACCATCTCATGATCAACTGCTTTCACTTTTTGTTAGCTCAAATTTCAATAAAAAGTTCTTTTAATGACTCCAAAATATTTCCTCATTTCACAACTGGCTGGCTTCATCCAAATCTTGTTCATCCAAATCCCCAGGTTCATATGCATGTCTCACAACAAACATAACAAATTTATATTTATGACAGAACTACGATTACTCAGGTTTATTTACGAAAGGTTATTGTTTATGGGACCATATCAAAATATCATAGGGTAAGCAGATCACAGGAAGTGTAATCTATAGCTTATAATTTTGCTCAGGGCATTGGGTACAGTCTGGTAAGCTTTACCTCCATGATTTAAGATTATCTATAAACCTTAACACAACAAACCTTTCAGAGGTGTCAATTAAACTTCTGACCGATCAGAGCGTGTTATTTAATAGACAGGATCGAAATATTAGCACTGTACTGTACATTACAACTGTTGTGCGAGATTGTAGCAACAATTTTCAATGGCCAGTACACAGTGGAATAATTCATTTTGTTCCAACTAATACCTGTAATTGGCATACTTTCTCTAAATAGTTCACAACGTATTTCATTTATACCAGTAATTAAAAAAAAAATCATAATATACTTCAAAATTGATATATTTCTTTTTACAACATGGCAGGATTATTTAAAAGTTTAAAAAATCCTTAATTTATCATGTTTTACAATTTTCATTTACCACAAGATCTGAAGAAGTCATGATATAAAATTCCATGCTACAATGAAGTATTTTTGTAATGTAATCACTGTGAATGAAGCATGTCCAATAAACCCCCCCCCCACCCACTTTTCAGCAACACCATCATCATCACTTTCAAGTCCTAATCAGTCTCATGAGAAATCTCCCGTTTCAAATTTTTCCTTTTCAAATATTTCAGCTCGCACCATTCGTCCACCAAACCATCGTCCATTAAGGTTCTCCACAGCAGAGTTGGCTTCTGTTACAGGAAGAATAAACAATGAAAATATTAAAAATATAATAATTACTAATAATAATTTATGTATGAACATATTTTTAAAACAACTTACCAATGACAAAACCAGATGCTTTATAAACTAAGGTTAGGACAGGTTACAGTTATTTTCTTAATAAATCCAGTGGTTAGGACTGAAGTACCAAATTTCATGTTGATGATGCATTTAGATGGTTGGTTTTAAGACACTCTTAAACCTTTGAATAAATCATCTTTTTTCTCCCACTTAAATTTTAAAACTTAGGGAGGAGGGGGGAGGGGGAGACCCCCAACCTACAGCTCTGCTATATATGTTTTAACACTAAAAAAAATTAACAAAGTATATTGATTAACATCAACTCCTACCTTCAGGTTCATTAAACTTGACAAATATCTTGACAATAACGTCTGCATCATCTTCCTCTCCTTGGCGTTCTTGGTAAATGATGACGCGATTCACCACACCGAATCGACCGCATTCCTCAGTTACCTCTCCTTCCAAGTCGTCATCAAGTTCTGATACGTCTACCATATTCCTCAACACTACAACATTTGACTGAAAATACAATGATTTTTAGCGTAAGATTCCAACAGAAACGAGTCACAGTGTTAAAGAATAGACCCACTAAAATTGCCTAAAAGAAACTAGTGGTATAGCATCCGCTGTGTAAAGAATTTCAAGTACGAATGCTGTTTAACTTGATAACATCTTTTCTTTCAATTCTTCAAATTACTTTTTTGTTATGTTTTGTTCATTATGAGTCAGCCTTGGTCAGTCAGTTAAAATACACTGGAGGACGTGTTTTTTTTTATAAGTGAAATCTGTACAAGCTGCCTTTTAATGGACTCTTTCGAGGTGTCAATCAAACTTAACAACTGACCAATCAGAACAAGGCCAGTAATACATGCATGTCTTACACACGTAGGACCTTAGCAACAGTATCTCAGGGGCGGGGCTTATCGGAATGTTCCATTGTAGACAGATGGTTGCCAGGAAGTACACTTTTGATAAGGAAGGTTGAAAGACAAACAAAATGTAACAGCTAATCATTCAGCTATTGGCTAAATATAAGATAGTAAGTAAAGTAAACTTTATTCCATAATAAAACAAACAAAATGTACATTTCTGATTCAAGGATAATGGAAAAGGAAGCTCAAATAAAGCAAAGCTTTTAAACTGAGACCCTTGTAAAAGAATTAATACTTTCAACATCTCAATTACCTCAGACTTCCGCAGTAGCCTCTGCATAACCATATGCCGTTGGTTGGTCCCAGAGATTGACATGTTCTCTTGTTCACTCAAGGTCTGTGGCATCTCTTTCTCCAGTTTTTTCTTAATTTCCTCGGCAGTGGAACCAGGAGCAGGAGCAACTGGTGATACATCCGTGGCAATGGTTGTGGACATTGGCATGATGATTGCAGTAGGTACGGTGGTTGTTACTATAGGGGGAACACCTGCAAAAGAAAATTTAAAACAGCTTGTCTTCTTGGATGTAGACTTCATATTCATGCCAACATGCATTTAAAAGAAACAAACTTAACTAATAATTCAAAAATAAATTAATATTTTCTGTATTGTTATGAATACCTCAAAAACATCTGTGTTTATCAAGATTACCTACATCACTAATATTCTCATCATATAATTAATATAAAGTATTCGTTAGAGATAAGCAAATGCTAGCATCAACGTACCTGTGAGGACCCCTGGTGCAGAAGATGTAATGACTGGTTGCGGTAGATTGGTTGGTGGGATCATTGATGCTAGAGTGGGTGGTGGAGGGGCTGCCAGACCAAGGCCTGCTGATCCTGTAACAGATAGAGATGTAGATAGGCCAGTCACCGCATCCAGTGCCTAGTAAAGGAAGTAAAAGAAATAGGTTACAGATTTAACAATTTTTGTAGAGTGATGTTGACATGCCAGCCACAGCCTCTATCCTATAAATAATAAACTGATTATGGATTCCACCTTTTAGTGCTAAGTAACCAAAAAAAAAAGCACTACTAAAGAACTGATTAACAAGTAATATGTATGTTTATATTTTCCTTTTATGTTCAATTTTCAAGTTGATGGTAATTTTATTGCAATTTTTTTTTTGATGTCCAGAAACCTCTGTATAGCCATATGGTGTTGTGGAAATTAATGTGTTAATAGATAAAGTAGTTAACATTAGCCACTACTTAGGATTTTCATTACTAAATTATTCAACTACGTACCTGGATCTTGGCAGTTGCTGCGGCTGCAGCCACAGCCGCAGCTGGAGGAAGGCCTCCTGGCCCTGAAGGAACGGCTGGGGCTGGTGTTGGTGGTGTTATTGCCTAGAAATACACAATATAATCATTTTGTTATTGATTGCAGAGTATTTTTAGGGTACAGATTTGTTTTATTGTAAATTTGATGCAAATCAAATACTGAATAAACTGAAATATAAACATAAGTAACAGCGAAAGCAAATTTGGAATAAAAAAATTAATTAAGGTTTAAAGATTATTGACAAAAGATAATTGAGGCATACCCTGCCGACTCGTAGGTACTGACCACCGAGGTCAAAGAGGTTCATGGAGTTGATTGCATCACCTGCAGACTGCACCTTATCGTACTCGATAAAACCGTATCCCCTGTAAAACAATTGCACAATGCTAATTAATACACGTCTTAAAAAATTTGAATCTGATTTGTGCTTTATACTTAGTGGCATATAGAGTCCTGGAATGGGGAAGGGAGATAAAACTGAAGTGGGCAGGCTTGATGAGGGGGGTGCCAGCTTACAAAATAGGGGAATGTGCCCCCTCCCCTAGATACGCCACTCTTAATACGTCTTGCAGTATTGTCTTTGTTAAAGAATTAACCTGAACTTACTTGTGTTTTCCAGGAGTAGCGGGATCACATGGTAATGTGCAGGATTTGATTTTTCCAAATGCTTCAAAAACACTGTAATACAAATTTATAAATAAATACAACATTATTACTATTATAATCATTGTCACCATTCTTTGCAGTCTTCTTCACCATCAACATTATCACCAAAAAAGCTATTTCAATGTTTACATATATAGCAATTAGCAAGATGGTATCTGTTCCCTGCTGCTGCTGCTATAGCAAAGGCCAGCGGCGCTATTCATTGCACAGTGCTCTATTAGTAACTAGCCAGCTGCTCAGGCTAGGCCGCTGGAAGTCCCCCAGTTAGTTGTGAGATGTCGGCGGCGCTTTTTCAAAATTAATCCGATGAAATGGTCCATGTATACATAATCATATGTATCATAATCATATATGGTTATAATGTGATGTCATCATGACCTATTTAGGCATGGTTTCAGAATTTTTATCTTCAATAACCAACCTTTTAATATCAACAGCAGAGAGGTCCTGATGAATGGATGCTATGAATATTCTTGGGAACTGTTTGGCTTCTTCGTTGATTTGGTCAACTACTGGTTGTGCCTGGGGCATGTTGCTTGGACGTCCAACCTACACAAGGCAATTTGATACTAACAATAATAGAAGTGTCCATGTGTAATGCATATGTAGCTT